TTCCCCGAAGCCTACATGAATGCGGGATGTCTTGTGCAATAGATTGTCAATTGTAATTTAATGGAGAGATAAAATGAGAATCTTTGAACTGAAAATACTTCAATAGTCTTGACATTTACCACATTGATGTCTAAAGTTTCATTTAGACATGAGTTTTAGCAACAATGAATTGTAGGATCCAAAAAGTCTGTCGTCAAGTTTCTTGAAAATGTATCTGAGAACAACAGCATTTCTAAATGAGAAATTAGGGAACTGTGTAATTCAAAATGTTGGGAAGGATTGCTGTAGCAGCAGAAGAAGATGATACTTTTTCCTTCTCTGAGTGATGAGGGGCTGATGCCTTGGTATCATCTCCGTTTTTGGTTTTCTTTTCATCAACCTTTGGTTTGTTTCCATGGTTTTCAACTTTTGACTTCTTTTCATCAACTTCAATCTTTGGTTTGTTTCCATGGGTTTCTGTTTTTGGCTTCTTATCATCAGTTCCGTTATTTGGTTTCTTTTCGTTGTCAGCTCCAGTTTTTGGTTTGCCTTTGAAAAATCCAAACAGCTCCTTGATTGAATTCCCGATATCAGCTACTTCAAGTGCCTCAGCAGGCTCCGCAGCAAAAAGGGCAAGTCCACCTAATGTTGTAGCTGCCAAACCTATCAATTCTCTTCTTGAAACAGCAGTTGCGGTTGTCTCCTGCCGAGACAACTCCTTTCCATTGCCATTGCCTGTCAACTGGAAGGGAAAGAACATGCTAAGATACAAAAGAGAGGCATCTAAAATCTCTAGCGGAGCCAACAACAATCATCTACTTCTTAAAATTACTTATGCTTGTGTTTGCTCAGTAAAAGAACACTCTCAATTTCATATGGCTAGTGAATGCTAGAAGCAAATAACATCAAGAATGGAGGAGCGGAGGTCAAACTTTGCAATTAATATAATCTTATCGGAGCTTAATCGTTGCTTTTGGTTGTATGCATGTCAATATGTCAGTGGAAAAGAATACACAGGAAGCACATTTCAGAGAACATATTTTATTTTCTCTAGTAACATGTTACATATGTCAAGGTTCAGTCTGTATAATATGACATAAGATCATGCATCTTTTTGCTAGTATGTAATGAGATTTGGGTTCCTGCACTTGTATCAAGAGAAAAGGGTGGTTTCTGCCATCAGATATCAAAAGCCAAGGTTTGTTGAAATCAAATAGTAGGAATTTTTGCTATGATCACCATGGGTTAAGCAACTAAAGAATCAAAATATCGTCCAAGGACATATAGGGAGAAGAGAGACACATGCTTCCGCTAACTATTTCCTCTCTAGCTGAATAGCTGCAACCTTTTTTTTTTTTGGATAACCGAGAAATCCCCGAGGGCCAGTGGCACACAGTTTAGAAGTCGGTAGATAATAGGCCCACCCCTCTACCCTTTTCCACCTAAAAACCAGGCTCTATAGTTGAATAGCTGTTATTCGCACACCTAGATCGTAAGTACTAGGCAGGAAATGCCACAGCATTTTGTATAATGCTTGAAAATTTGTATGTAGAAAATATCACTGGAATCTGAAGTGTAACTACTCATCGACAAATTATACTATCAACCTTTTCAATACTTTCTAAACTCATATAGGCTTAGATATCAGAGAATCAGACTGTTTCTTAACGGGACAGAGATAATTTGATATGATAAGATCTCTTGAAATGGAGAAGTTCCAAACAAAAATATCATGTCAAGTAAATTCTTGTCAAAGTGGTACTAATTAGTGCATTTGAAAGAACAAACCTGCCATATAACCATTTACTTTTTCAGTATGCCGCCTTCAACTTTTCTCTTATGAGAATCGGTTATGTGTAGATTAATGACATTTGCTTACAAGTTTCACAATAAAAAACATTTGGAACTTTTTAACTCTCATGGAAATTGTCTAACCAAGTAATTTCCATCAATGATCAGATTTTGCCTAGAATAGAAAAAAATGTCTGCGTAATTTAGAAGTCCTTCAATGAAGTAAAAGCTCAGTATCATTTATCTTCATATATGGTTGTTGGTCTATCCCAAAAACAGCCCCACCTCATCAAGTCGAAAATGCTGCTCTCAAGTCACTTTCAAAGTAAAATATAAGCCCCTGGCTTGTAACCCCACATTCAACTTTATGTAGCCAAGTTTCTAAGCAGGTTTATATGAAAAATATGCACAGTACATGTCAACATCAAAAAAAATGTGGCATATGTCTACTATCCAAATTTCCAATATATCACACACCATTCAAAAGTTCAAATGTCTCTATAGTCTATCAAATCGTGCGACAGCAATAGGGTAAATAGACTAACATGCAACAACTTTCACATTAGCAAAACAAAGACATCTAGGACTGGCATACAACAATAGAACAAGCTAAGGGAAACAGCAGATAAGTCTATTGTGCCAGGTTTGATTATAATAAAAAGAAAACAATAAATGATCGATCTAGCATTTTGCTTGCAACACAAAGAGCAGGGGAATGTCTCAAAAGAAGATACCAACATTTGGTGTCTACTAGCCACATAATCAAATTGTATGTTCTTGGGATAACTCAATAGTACAAGGAATAGAAACGACTAAAGAAGTAGAAAATCCCTCAAGCTGCCCAAATTCAGATTCAAGTTAATACTGACTTATTGATGGAAATAGATTCTTTCTTCTTTTGAAAAGCCCGGTGTGTTCAGAGAACGATTTCCACTCTTCTAGAGAGAATGTGCAAGTTTGCTGCCGGGCTAAAATAAGGAATTGAAAGATACATTTTTCACACAATAACTAAAACCCCTCTTAGCCCTTGCAAATATAACCTACCAGCCAAGTAGAAACTTCAAAACAAGCCAAATACATATAAACCAAAGATAAAAGTACAACACTCATCCAACAAAAATGTGAACTTTAACCAGTTCCATAGCATAAAAGGTCAGAAAACAAAACCCGAATAGAAGGAACAAGAGTTCTGTTCAACTCCAATATAAACCATATACACATTAAACCAACAATCAAAGTTCAACACCCATCTAACAAAATCTGAACTTTAAACGTCTTCATAGCATAAAAAGATCAGAAAACAAAAACCCCAAGAAAAGGAATACGAGTCTGTTCACCTTCAATATAAACCAAATACATATTACATTAACAATAAAAGAACAGTACCCATCTAAAAAATTGTGATCTTGAAGTAGTTTCATCGCATAAAAAGAGCACGAAAAAAAAATGAAGAAGAGAACTTCATTAAGCCTAATACACATCAAACTTAAAATAAAAGAACAATACCCATAAAACAAAATGTAATCTTTAAACAGTTCCACAGCACAAAAATCAGAAAACAAAACCTGAAGAGTTTGTTCAACTTCAATATAATCCAAATACTTTCTAAACTAATAAAAAGAACAACACCCATCTAACAAAATATGATCTTTAAACAGTTCCACAGCATAAAAATCAGAAAGCAAAACCTGAAGAGTTTGTTCAACTTCAATATAAACCAAATACACATCAAACTAACATTTAAAGAACAATACCCATCGAACAAAATATGACCTTAAACAGTTCCACAGCATAAAAATCAGAAAACAAAAGTCTGTTCAACTTCAATATAAGCCAAATACTAACTAAACTAACAAAAAGAACAACACCCATCAAACAAAATCTGATCTTTAAACATTTTCTACCATAAAAAGTCCAGAAAACAAAACCTGAAGAGGAGAAAAGATAGTTTTGTTCAACTTCAACATTGTTAGTGAAGGTGCTGATCTTATTTGAGAGCCATTTGGTTCTGACACTGTGGGAAGTGAACCCACTACTGATTTCAATGTAGATGACAACATACTTAGCCGGCGAAAGATTTCCCGGCGAGATCACAGTCGCCGCCGATAGAGTAGTAAGAATTTGGGGGAAAAAAAAATTAAATTGCAGACATATGGGTAGGTAGCTACATTTGTTTAATATTTCAATTAGTACGATCCCATGTGGAGTCTCAGAAAAAGAAAAAAACGTTTTTTTTTTCTTCATAATATTCAAAAAAAATTCATTTTCATTGTATAACCATGATGATTTTGATAATTTAAATTTGTGTTATATAAAATCTATTAAAAATAGTACTCCCTTCGTTTCAAAAAGATTGGTCTGGTTTGACTTGACACGAAGTTTAAGAAATTAAAGAAGACTTTTGAATCTTGTGTAACTAAATTAAAGTTATGTTAAATGTACAAAATTGTCCTTAATCTTGTGGTCTTAAACATGTCACGTGAAAAGCAAAAAAGTAAAATGTTACCAAAAAAAGAAAGAGGTCATTTTTTTGAAACTGCCTAAAAAGGAAAGGAGGTCATTCTTTTGTGAAACGGAGGGAGTATATACTTATAAAAGATCTTGACTCAAAACTTTGATCTAAGTGAAAGAATTTTCATTTCATTTTATTATGATAGGTGAATAGGCTGTTATTGAATTTTTTTGCTTTTTATGTCAAGTATATTTTAATAATTTATTAAAATTATAACAAAAACCTCTATACAAAGTGACACGTGTTATTTTCTAATTATTGTAGTGTAATTGAATATTGTATGTAATCATGAAACTAATTAAGATTCTTCAAAAGTATAGAAAATACATGAGTTAATTCCTTCTTTACAAGTTTTCAATGTTACCCTTATGATTAATGAGAAATTAATTGAATATTGTATGTAATCATGAAACTAATTACGATCATATTATATTTATTTAATTTCAATTCTTCTGCTAATCAATTATTTGATTGCATTGTTCCTAGATTTTATATGTTCAAAAAAGGTTTAAAATTTTCTTTAAAGTACTTGAAAATCACCAGATTTATTATTCATTAATAGTTTGGCGTAAATATATTTCTACCGTTAATAATTCGGTTAAAAAATATTCTTATTTCATACAAAATTTAACATCATAATATAATTAGAAGATTAATATAAAAACATATTTAGACCTACACACATATGTATTAAAGACATAAAGTGGAGCGAAGAACGTAACTAGAACAACCACACATAATATAATATAATATATATTGGTAGTAGAACATCATGATAAGTAGCTCCAACTAGAGGTGTAACCAAATCTCTTTTTCTTAGAAAGAAATTTGCTCACTTATTACAACACACACACACACAAAACAAGACTCACATAAACTCTTGAAGCATCACATACACAAACATAACTTGATATATATATATAAAATCAAACAATTTGCTTGTTGGAACGTGCTTGTAACATAGTTGCATAATATCCTTGACCATTAGCTGTGAGCACATCACAATGGTAGTTTGGTGGGAAAGCATTTGGTGCACAATCACTACAAACCCAAGCATCATTACAATCACTTTTAACTTTGCATGCCTTTAGGCAAGTCAAAATATCACCAACAAGAGCGAATTTTTGCTCCAGCGCCACGATTTCCACGGGTAAATCTCGTGAAGCCTTCACCTGAACTAAATATGAATAGGTATAATAAGATTAGTTAAGACGTATGGATTTGAATACACTCCTGAAATATATTAAGATCTGAATAGTAAATAACTAAGATTGTTTGTGCTCATGATATCGATCTTAATGTAAAAAAAAACTTTTCCTTATTTGAAATCATAATGATTCATATTTATGCATGCATGATGGTTAGCTAGTGATGAGCAACAAAACTTTGGGGTGAAAGCGAATGGAATAGAGGTGAAATGTCTCCCTATAAAAATCCTTAACTATATAACATATAAATGATATTGAAATATTATTATAGATCTGAATCATTTAGTATATATATAAATATAAATATAAACATGTTAAGCGATACAAAAAATAGATACACTTAATCATTGACGTCTAAGTGATCAAATCCAGACCCAAATCATAGAAAAATACCTAATGACTAAGATCTGAATAATTGAGATTCATATCTTCATGGAGTAAGTGTAAACAAAAGACCTTAGTTGAAAAATCATACCGTATATATAGATCAAATATCAATACTTTTTATTTATTTAAATCTTGAATTAATTTCAGTGAAAATTCTAACTTCGCTATATAATTAGCACGCATAACGAATGTACGTAAATTAAGAAGAGGGGAGGTAGAGATCATGAATTCACCAGTAGTTGTAGCTATGAAAGCAATGAGAAACAAAGTAAACACTTGAATTGAAGAAAGAGCCATACTGCTAATTATAATACAAACTTTGGATATATTAATTGTTGTGGATATATTATGAAGAGTTAATAGAATGAGTATATTGAAAATGTTGTGTCCATTCTTCACAATTTATAGCTCTTCATTAGGAGGAAATTGATAACTCACTCTTATTTTAAAATTCATTTTTATTGGCATGTAGGCCCTTCTTCATTGTATTTGACATTATTTCACGTTAATGCATGGCTCTGAATTAGGAGGACAACTCTACACTGTTTATATACAGTATTTTTTTAAAACAATCATTCATAGATACGGATTCCATAGATACGCCTCAATTTCAATTTGTTTATTTTATTTTCCTTTTTAATTCGTTAAAAAAAAATGTTTCTTTTCCTTTTCAGCCATTTTTGTAATATTAAATTTTCACGTGACATACTTAAGACCACAAAATTAAAAGAAATCTCCTTTAACTTTCTTAGATTTTGTTTCAAGTAAAAATTGAATAATCAATTTGAAATGAAGGGAGTAGTTTTTTTTTTTTCATTTAATTGATGAGTTTGACATGTATACCGACATTATTCCGCAATTTTTTAAGCACAAAAATGAAAAAAACAATTTGAATTTCGGTATGGTTCCTTATATACAATGGGTCTTGCGCGATAGTTGTAATTTAATTGCTATTGCGCCTATATTTTTTAAGCACAGAAGTGATTTTTTTTTTAATTTTCTTACTTTTTAATGTTTAATTAATTATGTATGAGGAATAATTCATTCCACTATTAATATATAAATGATGAGATAAATTGAGACTGTCTAATACTTTCAACCTTACACAGTTGTGATAAACACACCAAACAATTATGGTTAGTCATGACACTGACTTTTTTATACGTAATTAATATTATATAAATATTTTTAATTATCAAAAAGAAAAAAAAAACTTCCAGCAGCTTCTGGCACCTATAGTCAATGAAGTGAAAAGACAATAAATGGTCATGAAACATGTGAGCTACCAAAATCAAATAATGTAAATACGAATTTTGTTTTATTAAAACAAATTAAATATCTGTGATTAGACTACATTATTGAATTATATAGATCACATCCGGTATTTTAAAAGGCGGAGGTGTGAGACGAGAAGTTTTATATCGTATGGGGCGAGGTGTAAGCCACGAGGTGTAATCTCATGTATATCCAATTTTATAGTTTTATTACTAATAAAATAAGCAAAAGTAAACCTTTTAATGATTTTACAAATATTTTTTTTATAAATAACCTCTAATATATAGAATTATGTTATGATTTTTATTTGAGATAAGTATTAATAATCAATAATGAAGAAAAAAGTATTATAATTACTATTTGAGAAATATCATTACACCAATAATAAAAAAATATGTTTTAAAGCAAAAAATGTTCAAAAAAATAAATTAAAAACGTCTGGGCCTACATTTTTACGAGGACTTGCGTTTTTATGCTCGAGGCTTATGCCTCAAATTTTAAAACTTATGCCTTATGAATCTACGTCTTTAATTTATGCCCCAGAGCATTTTTGATATGCCCGCCCAGAGACTCACGTAACTAATTTAGGATTTTTTTTTTCGAACTCCAACACATTTCACTTGTAAAAGCTTGAGACTCCAGCATTTTTTGCTGGAACTAATTCTGTATTTTTTACTAGGAGTACTTTTATTTAGATGCTATTTGCCTCCTAACTAAATTGTGGTTAAATATTAACAAGTTGTACAAAATTTAACCATGCTAGCTCATTTTTATTAATTGTAACAATCTAGCTTACGTAGGTTAAACACAAAATATACTTTTAATCGAAATTAACAAGTTTTCTGTATTTTGTACCTTTTCTCTTACTCAAAAAAATAATATTATGGAGATAGATTCATTATATATGGTAGAAAAAAATAGTATTCAATTGATATCAATAAATGAATAAAAATAATTTAGATAACTTACCTTTTGGTTGATATTTTCTTAGGAAATATACTTTAAATATGATAAAAAATGGATCGAAGAAAATAGATGAATACATGATTATCGACTCTCTAATTATTTTATTTTAGAAGAAGGATAGCATAGCCATCTTAGGGGGCAAATTAAAAGAGATGAGTTAAATGCACTACCTATGATCCTAAATGGAGTAACATTCCTCCATATATATAGGTGTGTACGATACGACGGAAAATGACCTTTTTTTTTAAAAAAAAATAGGGAAAATAAGTTTCACAAATAATATTTCATATGTCATTCTCGCCCTCTAACACCACTCATCTTTATCTCCCACTCTCGTAGCCCCTATCCCCCACCTCTCATAGTTTTATCTAGTCTAAATTATATACAAATACTTTAAGGATAATAGTCTTGTCTATATATTAAATTAAACATGAAAAATAAGTAAATAAACTCCACTTATTTTCTTAATTAATATTTTTGAGGAAAATATTTTCCTTATACACCCCTCAAGTGCAGTTTTCAAGTTGATAAATCTCCTGTTTTAAAACCGGTACACATATACATTAGATTATATATCAATTATATAAAACACAATCATGTACTAATATGTTGTACATGAATTTTTTTATATATTGACTATTTTTAATTTAATTAATTTGATAAATGACTATTTAGATTAATTCTTTAACGGAGATTCACCGATGAGCTCTTGATAAGATTTTTTCTCATCAATTTAATAATAATTTACCTCTAATTACCTTAGGACTAAAGGGTTTGACAAGAATAATGTAGGCTAGCTAGAGGGTTTGACAAGAGAATTATGGTGCTTCTTTTTTTTTTATATAATTTGTTGGTCTTTTTTTTTTCTTTGGAACAAATGAAAGCAAATCGTCTTACCTATAAAAAAGAAATTAAAAATAAAAGAGAAAAGTCAAATGAGTAATTAATTTATTAATTATTAGTAGTATACTTGGAGGCTTATAAATAAGATCCTTCTCCATGAAAGAAAAACCATCACCACACATTAATTTAGTGTTAATTTGCAAATATGGCTCAAGTAAACAAGTTTGCTATCTTCTTCGTTCTTCTTTTGGCTATTGCTATTGGTTTGTAACTTACCTTTTTTTTAAATTTACTATTCCTTCGTTTCAGTTTATTTGTGTTATTTATTATTATTATTATTATTATTATTATTATTATTATTATTATTTACTTATTTAAAATAAAATTATTTTTTTTGCAATTCTTAAATTCTAATTTTCTAGGTGACATATTTAAGAACACAATGTTAAATGATACTATGGTACATTCAACGTACTTTTAAAATAAGATAAATAAATTCAAATATATTTTTTATTTTCTTAAATTTCATGTCAAGTCAAACTCAGACAAATAAATACTACATGAACAATCTTGTCAAAAAAGATTTATTCTATATTATATATAGTAATTAGAGCCGTCAATATGGACTAGGCCCATTGGGCTGGTCTGGTCTGATCCGTGATTTTATAGGGTTGGGCTACGATTTTTGGAGCCCATTTAAGAAAAGAGTTTTTTAGCCCGGCCTGAATAAGTCTGTCAATTTGTGGGGCTTGAGAAATATGGATAGGGCGGCCCGTGGGCCAAATAAAAATTAATTAAAAAATAAAAATAAAATAGAGTATTAAAACTCAAAATTTGTTTAAAGTTTGAAATATTACAATTTAAATACAAATTATGTTTATAAAATATGTACTACATAAAATAAAGTTTCTAAAATTTCTAGGGAATCACTACATAGGCCATAACCTATGGAATATTATCATAGTTTTTGTGTTTTATTATGATCATTAGAAAATAATTAGGTTAATATTTCTATTTAGCTATTTATGTTTTTACTTGAAATCAAACTTAATAAATATTATATAGAAAATTTTATTTGTGTATTTAATTAACAAGTACTAACACTAGTCGATATTTATGATAATATTTTTAAATTACAATTTAATTTAAAAAATTATAAAAAATATACTTTTAAGAAAAGAGGGCTGGCACGGCAAAGCCGGTAGCCCACGCACTTGTGGGTTGGGCCGACCATTTTCTAGCCTCCATAAAATTGGCTAGCCCGGCCTGGCCCGTCAAATTGCAAAACCTGTATGGGTTAGCCCGGATGGGATGGGCCAGCCCATATTGACAACTCTAATAGTAATAATATATGAACAAAAAAAAATAATGTTATTAGGTATAAAATAAATTTAAAATAAGATGACTAAATGTAAAATGATACATTTTACGTACTTTTAAAATAAGATGACTAAATTTAAATATCTTCTTTATTTCCTTAAATTTCATATTCAAAATCAGACAAATAAATTGAAACGGAGGAATACTACTATAGGCAGTGGTGGAGCCACATTATCATTAGGTATATTTAGTAGATGTCGAACCCCCTTCGGCTACTTTGTGTGTCTATTTCTTTAGATTTTGAACCCCCTTACTAATAATTCTGACTCTGCCACTAACTATAGGTTCATAGCAAATTAGTCCATGAAAACCTAACTCGTCCAATCCATCCAAGTTTGTGACCAACCCATTTTTATCCATGAACAATCTTTGCAAAAAATAATTATTCGACATGTTATATATAGATCATAATATACAAGCAAAAAAAAAACAGTGTCATTAGGTACAAAATAAATTTGTAAAGGATAAAATAAAACAATTACCACATAATAAAATTGGACAAATCGAGTTATGGCCCGTACTTAAGCCTATTTCATCCCAGATAACTCTTGCATTAGTGAATAACCCACAATCACAATATATCATCAAGATCATACATTTAATTCATGATTTTATGGCATTCATCATTATCTATCTCATTTACAACAAGTGTGATCAACATTGCAACATTCATACATATACAAGTATCACAAATAAGCAAGAACAAACATACATCACAAAATCATAGAATCACAACCATCACCTACCTCGAAACAAGCTTGAAACCCTAAGAAACTTGATCCTACCTTTCCGGATTCGTTCTGCTTGTTCTTGGTCTACAAAAAATCATAACAATATGGGAATCAACAAACAATCGCTAAACACCCGAAATCATAACAATTCT